TAACATCTACCAAAAAATTTCTATCAACACAGTTCAGCATGAAGGACCTTGGAACTGCGAACGTGATTCTCGACATTAAAATCATATACTTTGAAGAGGGTATTGGATTGTCCCAATCTTATTATGTCGAGAGCATGCTAAGGAAGTATGGCTACTACGACCTGCTAGAACTATCAGTGCCGTATGATTACAACAAGAAGCTTTGACCGAACACTGGAAGACCAGTAGAGCAGCTAAGGTACTCAAACATAATTGAAAGTCTTATGTACGCGATGAGCTGCACAAGGCCAGATATAGCATTCATTGTAGGAATGTTTAGTAGGCTCACAAGTAATCCTAGAAAACTTCATTGGGATGTTGTCCAGAGATTTATGAGATACTTGAAAGGAACTACAGGTCTGAGCCTATTCTACATTGGATATCCGGCTGTAATTGAAGGCTATTCAGATACGAGCTGGTGCTCAGAACCAGATGAGTGCAGATCTACTGGAGGTTTTGTCTTCACCATAGGTGGAGTTGTCATCTCGTGGAAATCTAAGAAGCAAACTATGATTACACAGTCATCGATGAAATTTGAGTTCTTTGCACTCTGTGCTGTATGAGATGAAGCTGAGTGGCTCAGTTGTATTCTCTGAGACCTTCCATTGGCAGAATTACAAGACGCAATTACAATCTATTGTGATAATTAGGCAACGGGTATTGTGGCAGCGAAATAGTTGTTCAATAAAAAGAAGCGGATCATTCGTATGAAGCATGGCTATTTGAGAGAACTCATTTGCCAATGAGTCATCTCGGTGATTGATGTTCAGTTTTTAGAGAATGTGGCTGATCCTTTGACTAAAGGTCTGAAAAAAGACATAGCCGAAAGGACGTCTGCTGCAATGGGTCTTAAAGTTTTGTGAGTCTTACAAATACTTACCATGTTCATCCAACGTCTGCTGCAATGGGTCTTAAAGTTTTGTGAGTCTTACAAATACTTACCATGTTCATCCAATTATTAGTTCAAAGCTTGTTTTGTGAGTCTTACAAATACTTACCATGTTCATCCAATTATTAGTTCAAAGCTTATGCTACTAATAACAAAGTTAACTGGTTCAAAAGTCAAGTAAGATTTGTAAAGTTTGGTAAGTCTTACAAACACTTATCATTTCGTCAAGTTATTAGTTCAAAGCTTACACTACTAATGACAAGATGATTGGTTCAAAAGTCAAGTAAGATTTACAAGCGAAATCCTATCATGTAAAGAGGTTGATTGTTAAGCCTTAATGAGTCCAAAGCATTTCAGATGCGGGATGTTAAATAGGTAACATGCCTAAAGGACTCACCGATAATTCTATCATGTAAAGGGGTTGGCTGTTAAGTTTTAATGGGTCCAAAGCATTTCAGATGCAGGATGTTAGATAGGAAACACGCCTAAAGGACTCACCTAGAATCCTATCATGAGGATGACTCTTAAGCCTTAATAAGTTCAAATCATTTCGGATACGAAATGTTTGATAGGAAACATGCCTAAATAACTCACCAACGTATGGGTGGAGATTTGGCCGTCTCCTATGATGTCTTATGGAAAGATACTTAGAGCCCTAGCAGAAATCAGGACATGCACATGGCCATAAATGTGCAAAGCAAAGACAAGTGTGGTTCAAAGTGAAAACTACCACAAATGAGTTTGATCTTGTGTGATTGCTGGATTTTAGACATGTGCTGGTTCAAGTCTCTGCAACGCCATGCATTTATCTTCTATTCAGTTGGTCTAAGGGGGATTCAATTCCTTGCGATATCTACCTTATGCATAATGATTGAAACAACGATATTATTACACGACACTAGTTTAAAAACTTGTGGGGGATTGTTTGATTTTTTTGGTCAAATCCGCTTTTCAAAATGAGTTTTCAAACTATATATATATATATTAACTACAAGTACTTTTTATAAATGCTTAGTAGTATAGTGGAAAGTTAATGTTTTGATATTTTAAAAGGTCCATTGTTCGAGGCTTGCCAACGGCAAGCTGAGAAGTATTTTATTTTAATTAATCCCTCATAAGTTCTAGTGAGCCGTGGGTCATGAGCCAATGAGCTGGTGATCGGGGCTAATCGGGCTGAGGCGCTAAGTGGTGTTTTGTTAGGCGCACTTTGTACTTCGCACAGAGTCATCGGCTTCGCAGCATGTGGACGAGCTACGAACTGAGGCGTGGCTGACAATTTGGGGGTCCGGTTCTAAATTTCAACCGAGGCCTCTTAATCAATCTTCCAAAGAAACTAATGATTGTTTTTATACGTCAATGGCTTTCATATTTTCTGATGGCAACATATTTTGTAAGATTAGCAACTCTGTAAATAATTCATCTCTATCAACATCAGAACAACTTCCTTTCTTAAGACTGTTTGCAATATATGCACATAACTTTTCCGGTCTAAATAAAAACCTAAAAATATTCTCGTATGTCTGATACTGTTCAAATCCTCTCTAATGAACCAATAATTTGATCAACCAGTAATAGAAAATTATGATCTCTGAAAATTTCCTCACCCGACTGCTGAGTTCCACTAGGTCTCTAACATTTTTTTCCATGTAAACACATCAATTACATGAATCAAAAGCCAGTCACTTATTATTGATGAAGTGGTCCATCTGTGGTGTAACATCTACACTTTGTTTTTTGTCTTTCAACTAAAGAGAAAAAAAGAACCTATTTTCATTGTGAAAAGAACATAGACTTACAAATTCAAAGGACATCCTCCCATCCTTCATTTCTTGCCGGTCGCCTGCTCCAGCCTCCGTAGCAACAATGGAATTCTGGGCACCTCTAGATTAATACAAGAAATAGTACCATCGGTTAAGACTAAAATAATTCATAGAAAGATTTTTTTTTAAAATAAAGAGGCTGAACCTTCAAACTAACCTTGTTGTTTCTTCGGCACAAGTTGCAACATCTTGATATAAGAATCAGATTTTCTTTATTCTATAAAATAAAATAAAGAAACAAAAATCATATTTTGATATAAGAATCAGATTTAATCCTCCAACTAATTACTTGGCCATAAGAATGGAAAAATCACCTCGTCAGTTTGCTCCACATCTCCAAAATCGCAGAGACTGTCAATTTGAATAGACCCCCCTTCTTTAATCTTCAGCATAAACGCTAAAAAAACAAAACCAAAAACTCAATCTTTTAACCCTAAAATTTGCTAAAGATTTCACACAATCATATCAAAAATTAAGATTTGCCACTTCCCCAAAATTTCCAAATGAAGATAAAAACCCTTGAAATAATTAAAAGGAAAGGGGTTCAAGAAAACGCACAAGATGGAGCATAGCTTTGAGAGATCTCGAACCAAAGCTCGGCGCTCTTGACCTCATCCTCACTCTCCTCATTGATGAAATCGAAGAATCGAGGCGCGCAGAACTCATAGGTCTCATCAATCTAAAGAATATCAACTCCACTATTGGATTCACTTCCCATTGAATGAAACCCCTTTGCAAGATTTCAACTTCACTTCAAAGGATTGAGGAGAAGGACCAAAAAGAAAAAACTCTAAATTTCGTTGCCGCTCGCCCTAGGTTCTCCGCTCGCAGGAGACGTTTGCGCGATTTGGGCCCCCCCCAAGTAGGGGCCCTGTTCTGCGGAACCGGAAGAACCGCCTCAGCGGCACCTCTGGCTACGCATTCGAACGAGGGTGTGACCCTAATGTTCTCGAAATCAGACGAGGTTTGTCGAGGTTTGTCGAGGTTCGTCTGATTCACAAGATCAGACGAGGTTCGCCTGTTTGACGAGGTTCGCTGGTTCGACGAGGTTCGTCTGCCATACGGGTTTGCCTGTTTGATGAGGTTCGTCTGTCATACAAGGTTCGCCTGTTTGACGAGATTCATTCGTTCGACGAGGTTCGTCTTTCATACAAGGTTCGCTTGTTTGACGAGGTTCGCTTGTTCAACGAAGTTCATCTGTCATATGAGGTTCGCTTGTTTGACGAGGTTCGCTCGTTGGACGATGTTCGTCCTACAGACGATGTTCGTCTAATTTGCTGAGACGTGACCCTCGCGTTTCGTAGTTAGGCGTCCATTGATTGCCCCGTATTCAGGAGTTACTGTATGTAGCAGTTACAACGACATTTAGAGCAATTTAATGCATTGATGTTATAATCTTAATTGTCATTGAGAATTGTAACAGTCATATTAATTGCGAGTGACTCTTGAGCTGGCCTTAGAGGCCTATAAATGGCGCCCTTAGGCAGCTCATGGATATACACACGCGAGCTTGGAAAACGAACGCCAGATCAAGGAGATCTTGACGTTGTTGTTGCTGTTGTGTTGCTGCTGCAGAAACTGTGCCCGTAGGAACTTGCCCTGAAACCGAAAGGTTTTGAACCGAAAGGTTGTGAGATCGAGGAGATATTTGCCTTGACCGAAAGGTCTTATAGATCAAGGAGATCTTGACAGTACTAGGTTGATGCACACCAGAGTACTGTACTGCTGTTCCTGCAGTTTGGCCTTGCGATCCTTGCACCGGAGTAGGCCAAATATTGCTTTAAGCACAACGTTTCACAAACGCACAACAGTTAACTTGAAAAAGTTTAAAATTACAGCACATCATCTTTCACTGTTTTATTCTAGATGTAACCACAATTTACAACAATATTGACTTTAAGTCTTTATATTTTCATTGTATTTGTATCCGTGTCCATATCCATAATTTGCAAAAGCTATAAATAAATATCCATATTTGTGGCTATATAATATCCATTTCTATATTGAAGATTCATCCAAATATAATTTCATAAAAAAAAGAGAGAGAGAACAAAAGGGGAAAAAGAGATTGTTCCAAATTTAAGGACGTTCGTAAATATCTCTGACTCTCTGTTCATTACTACTATTGGATGAGAGAGTGGAAACTTTTGGTGATCTATCTTATCGGATCCGGCCCGCTTACTGTAAACAGACCCACATAACCAGGCGACCCGCGTCCTGCTGCAGGCAGCAACTGATAAAAGCGAAAAAAAAAGTGGTCAGTGCTCATTTATGCTCTCACGCTCTCCCTCTCTCGAAATATTAATTCAAGATCCCCTCTCTCTCAAAGTTCAAACGAAATCCCCTCTCCACTTTAAAAATCAAATCCAATCTCTTGCTCTAATCCCCTCCAAAATTACTCACGGATCCACTAGTTCCTCCCAAATCCTCCATCGATCGAGGGAACTCGGTCCCTCTCGTTCTCTCGACTGGATCCGGTCGCCTAGGGTTTCTGAATCGTAAGACTGTTGAACTGTTTTCATCGTATTTTCTGTTTCGTTCGGGATCTGATAGCAGAGCTGCGATTTTTTTTTGTAGATTTGATGGATTTGGTTCTTGAAATGTGCACGATGTTGATGTAGACTTCAACTGGTTAAGAGTTGGTTCAAAGAAGAGGCCTTTGTAGTTTTGTACAGAGGAAGCTGAAGAAGGAAATGGCGATCAGTAGACAATTGGTGCTTACTTACCTTTATCTGCTCATTTACATACTCCTTTCCTCTGGAGTTATTCTGTACAATAAGGTATCTTTTCAGTTATTTTCTTGTTCTTGGAAATTTTACTTGAAATTTGGTAGCTAATGAATTCAGCTCTCAACATTCCAGTTTACTAATTTTGATATATTTAACTGATTGCATGCGTATTTGTTTTATTGCACCCAATGGATAGAAGAAAGCAACGTGAAATTACTAAATACCACGTGGTTTCATGTTAAGTGAGATCTTCTTAATTGTATATTTACAAGTCAACTCATGCATAAATGCTACAGTTAACTGATTGTCTGCATCTTTGTTTTTTTTGACAGCGGTTAAAACCTGTGGAAACAAATACTACCTAGTGATTCAAGTAGATTTTTTTTTCTTTGGTTAAACGTTGCACCAAATGAAGAAAAGAAAGAAACTTGGAAATGCTAAACACAATTTTGTTCCATGCCAAAAGAGTTCTTGTTAGATGTATATGTAGAATTCAACTCATTTTAAATGCTAAAAATAGTCTTGATTGCTTGCGTGTATTTTGGTGACTTAACTTTCAATTCAATTTTGATGATTACGGGAATAAGAGTGGTTACTACAGGCGTACTTTCTCATAAAGTGCTGCATATGATGCTTACTTTATTGTATTCTTTTCTCTTATGAATTTTTAAATTTGCAAACTTGAGACCCATCCACTTTTTTAGTCACATTAAAGCATAACAATTCAAATATATTTTGCTAATTTGTCAGGAAGATGACAAATCAGGCTTTTGTTGATCTAAACACTAGGAATTGTCTTTTGAGATTGCAGCATTTGAGCATTAATTTGTTGTTTTGCTACATGTATCAAAGTATACTTGCTTTGGACATGTTTACTAAACGTATGACTGAGGTCTGCGGTTTAGCTGATTAGAATAAATGGTGAATAACATAGTAAATTTAGGGTATAATCCCATGTAATACTGATAAAAAGGTTTGAAATGACAAACTTGCTTTACCTTGAAACTGGTTAGACATTAATTAAATCTTAACAAACGAGCATCTTGGTAAAACAAGTTGGAAAAGAAAAGAATCACCATATATAGAACGGGTATCCAAGATCCTATATAGATGAAATATCTGGCTGAGGGAATAAAAAATCAAATGATTCATGGATAAATGGTAAAAACAAATCCTATTTCAAACTTTTTGTTTCATATATCCTTTTCCCCATTAAGTGCATTGTTGGACTAACACCTAGCACATCCCTTTTCATGGTCTAAATCCTGCTGCAACTTAATTTATACCGCTCTTGGTGGCTCCTTTCAACTTGATCTCCCTCGAAAGCTCTTCACTGCACATCTCCAGCTATCTCAAGTACTCTCCACCTTTCCTTTAGAAATTTTAAAACTTTATGGTGTCGTGTGGCAAGGGGTTAAGAGAGGAGGGTCAAGGAGAAGGGTTAATTTAGTTAGTCCATCACGAGGGGTTAAAAATAATTAATTTCCGTTTGGTTTGGACAATTAAGATGAAGGGTTAACTCTTTAGTGTTTAACAATTAGAGAAGGGTTAAGTAGGTTAGTCATGCTAAAATTTTAAATAGGCCAACTTTAACCTTATCAAAGTTCAAACATTTGTTCTGACTCCCTCCCTGAAATGCAAATAAACAACAAATTAGAGACTGCATGACACTCTTCCAATAGGTATATTGTAAACTTGTAACGCAAATTGTTTGAATGTAGCTATAGTTATGTCCAACTTGAAAAATGAAGCCATAGATGAATAAGTTCCAACTTAGCAAAGACAAAACAGAAGAGTAGCTACTCTGAGTTGAAATATTAAAATAATAATTATCCACAACTAAGTAAGAATTGAAATCTAAAAATATAAGTAGTGCCAAAGATTGCTCTTACTGACTCCCTAAAGTCTTTTAAATTACAACTAAAATATTGAAATGTCAAGATAACCATAGCTCTCTCCATCCTTTGTGGACCACACAATCTAAAGTTTAAAAATTAAAAGCACCCATACCCTCCCTTCTTCGCTTGTCCCATATTCTATTTTCCCATAATAATTGCAGTTTACCATCGCAATCAGATGCGGCTTTCTCATGGCTTCACCTAATTTTTTTTCTAAAACGTTGTAGCCTACCCTCACAAGGAGAGACAGGCTAAAGGTTACATTGCCTCAACAGGCAGATTTGTAAACCCCTCAAAATGATGGGTTTTGAAGGGTTAAGTCAACCGCTGATCTAGGGTTAACAAACCTCTTATCAATAAATTAGTGTTTGGTGGGTTAGTGAAGGGTCAATCCCCTTCAGCCCCTCCATTAACCCTTTGCGAAAAACAGCCGAGATCTGCTTGATTTACCTCTATCTTTTCTGTAGTATGCTGTAACAGTCTAAATTTTTTTCCTGAACATTTACAGAAGTGAACCTATTAAAACATTGATCTAAGTTACAAGGTGCACAACATGGTAATGGGAGAAAATGGACTTTGATGCGACATGTATACCTCAGCTATTTTATGGAACTCCCATGAGATGTTACTTCCTAACATGTAAATTCCTAATATGATGGTTTTCATACTGAAAAGGGAAATACTGAAGCATTGTGTTAAATCAAGTAGGTTACCTAGGCAGATGTAAGGATAAGCTGCTAAGTTCTCGCTATCATGACGGTATGTCATTTAACCTTTTAAAGAACCAAAAACTCTGCAGTTTGAAACTGGAACATGAATAAAAGTAAGTTGCTTAGGAAGATGTAATGATAAGCTGCTAAGTTCTAACTGTTATGAAGGCATGCTATTGAACCTTTTGAAGAACCAACACCTCTGCAGTTTGAAACTTGTTCACTGGATATAAGCAGGCTACTTAGGCAGATGTAAGGATAACTGCTAAATTCTAACTATTATGAAGGCATGCCATTGAAATTTGAACCTTTTGTAGAACCAAAAACTCTCAGCTTGAAACTGGAACTATGAATGCAACTAATTTATCTATGCAGATGTCGATAAGCTGTTTAAGTTTTAACTATTAGCCAAAAACTCTGTAGTTTGGATCTGAAACTATAAACAAAATAACATTCTCAGATTACAACCAAATTACCATAGAACAAGCCAGATGCACTGGAAATTTTTTGAGGAACAAAAATCATAGACTTAGAAACTTGTTGAGTTTGGACGATAATAACTAGATTTACATCACTGAAAAGTTTGGCAATTTTATGTGGATTTTGTCACCTACATATGTGAAAATGTATATTTCCACGTCTGTTGGTTTTCAAATTCATTTAGGTCGTGATTAGCAGCATATACTTGCGATTTATTTTTAATTTTTTGGGCAAAGCAAGTTTTTAATAAACTGTAACAGTGTCATCGCTAGAAGGGTGTTAGGGAAGAAAATACTGCCATAAATCCTCAGTGCTTTAATAATATCTGCTGACATCCAATTCTAATAAGACATGAGACATTGAAGAATAAAACATACGATACCTTATCCGCTGCATTGGACAATTATTCAAATATTGGATCTCCTAATCGACTGCTTTGCTAATTTTGTAAGTAAATGTTGTCTGTTATTCTTCTATAAAGCTGATTTAGCAGTTTTGTATATTGTTATTTTTTTGTTATGATGATTATCAAATCTTTTCTTCTTTATCTTTATTTCAATTCTGAATGCTGCATTGTTGTTATACTTTATAGGTATTATGCAATATGGGTTACTGTTTATTTCTAAGTATGAATAGAATACAAGCATGATTATAACGGGATTCTGAGGCGTTTTTAACTCTATTTCCATTTGCAGTGGGTTCTGTCTCCAAAATATTTCAAATTTCCATTTCCAATTACACTTACTATGATTCACATGGGATTTTCTGGTGCGGTCGCATTCATTCTTGTTCGCGTTTTGAAGGTACATTTATATTATTTTTGTGATTGTCATCACATACTTTCATCGCTGGCTTTTTTTATCATGTGCTGATGTGTGCAACTTTCACTTACAGTATGTCTGTCCCCTTTTCGTGAGCAAAAGTTGCACTCTTATAGTTGACGACGCATGGCATTTTGAATATATGTGAGCATACAGTTGGATGATGCTTAGGTGTACATGTTGCATTTGTTCATTGTGTTGCATGATTCTGCGTGAAAAGTCAATCTGCCTGAACAAATCTAGTTCTTAAATTACATCAACCTGAAGTAACTTATTGTTAATTGTTTGTAGCTAGATCTTATCACATAGTTTTACATATAATATAGTTCTTAAATTACATCAACTGTAGTAACTAATTGCTAATTGTGTGTGGAAAGTCCATTTGACCCAATCAAATCTAGTTCTTAAGTTACATCAACCTGTAAGAACTTATTCTTGATTGTCTGTAAGCCTGATTTTGTCACATAGTTTTACATATAAACCTTTCTAAGTATTTTTTTGGCGATTTCCCTAGTTTTCCATCTTAATCCACCACTTTTCTTGGTTGCACTAACTTAAAAATTAAAATGTGATGACCATGAAGCTAGGTTTCCCTGCCAATTTACCGGCCTTGTGGGGGTGTATCCAGGAATCTCTGACCAATGCAAAAGGTTGAAGTCATGGTGACAACTGATCATGAACTTTTGTCAAATTTTCCCTGAAGCTTTGGTCGTTATACTGGTCTAGAGATGATAATTTGATGGTGGTGACAGAATCTCAATCCACTTCTACTTGGCCCCTACATTAATTATAAAGTATAACCTGTGAACACTACTTTTTAACGCACACACATATTTATTTCTCTTTGATATAGTTCTAACTTCTCATATACTTTGTTCTTTTCATTTACACCCTGCTATAAAAGCTCTGCAGTCTTAGCATTTAAATTTAATCTGCTACTTACTTTTGCCTGGCATGCCACTTATTTATATTTACCTGTCTCATCTTTACTTTTCATTAGACACCCTCTTAAGTAAACTATATTAGTTTTGCATTTGTGCTCTCTTATATATATTACTTTGCATGTGCACTTGTACAATATAATATTAAACTTTTAGATTCCCACAAAATCTCCAAAGAGGCCTGATGTAGGACGATCATGGACTGTTGATGTAGGACACAATCACTATTCAGATTTGATCCAGATTGAAGATAGATTTGCTATGATTTAGATTTGGTTTTGGTTTTAGATAGGTGAGAATTAGTTATGTTGTTTAGTTGTTTTGATTTGAATTGTGTTAGCATTGAGTTTGTTCGATTTTCTAGTTAAGATTGAATTGGTTTTACAGATAGGATAAGTTTTTGAATTTGTTTTAGATAAGAATTTGTAAACTCAATAAAAGAGGGAGGAGATTTCTATAATGAATTTGTTTTTGAATTTATGAAAGTTGAGTTGAAGAAAATCTTGTGTGATTTTTCTAAGGCGGAAATCACTGTTTCTCGGTGTGAAGCCGAAAGGGTTAAGTGTCATTGTGTGTGAATCTGACTTAACTAACGGTTAGATGTCTGTGAGTGAATCGGATCTAACCTCATTTTATCTTGCTTTCTTCGTCTTTTATTTTATAAAAAAAAGAAAAGAAAAGATACGGTTCACTAATACTGTTCACCGAGGGGTCCAACGCTCCTCTGTACCTCATCAACTGCCATCAAAACATTTTAAGATGTATTAGAATAAAATTTATTTTAGTCTTTTACTTGGTCAAAGCTTGCAGCTTATAAGCCACCAAAAAATAAGCTAGGGTACCCTAGCTTATTTTTTGGTGGCTTTTAAGCCAAAATAATCCATTTGCCAAACATGTCAAAGTGGCTTATAAGCCACTTTGACCACTTGCCAAACATACTCTAAGACCATCTTTTGGGTCTTTTGGCTGCCTCAATAATCAGTTACTAATGATTGCAATAATCTCTCTAGATGAAAATCTTTCTCTTGTACCTATTTATGATATCAATATCTTCTTTCTTTATTTAACCTATCTTTGATTGTATGTATATGCAGGTTGTTGCTCCTGTCAAGATGACATTTCAAATGTAATGAATGAATGCTTTGGTCTGAAATAATTTATGAAGTTTATCTTTTTTTCTTAACTTATTTTTCTTGCCCTTCTTGCGCAGATATGTGACCTGCGTTGTTCCCATTAGCGCATTCTTCGCATCAAGTCTTTGGTAAGAACATTGCAGTAATGTTGGAATGGTCTTTCTATGTTCAAAGCATTAGGTAGATGTACCCTTTCCCTGGTTCCCCACGCACAGCTCATCCCTTCTTTCTGATTTGTGTTAGTTTACGCTATGAAATTTTGTAAAAGTTCTCTTCCTTCAGGGTCAACTCTCATAAATTTTGTTGTATGTTAATTACTTCTGCATGTTTTTGTTTTTAGGCATAAATACTTCAATAAAATTATATGGTTTCAGAGTTGAATTTTTGCTACATCAATTTAAATTGTCAAACCCAGAAGAGGAGAATGCTTGTCTTAAAGTTTTGCCAGTTTTATCTATGGTTAAAAGTTTTGTAAGCATGTCTCCCCCAGTGACCAATATGAATATCTTTATGAAGTTTTATTCTTAACAATGATGGTGTCCATAGTCAATAAATCCATCATTTAAATTATTGATATGTGCCTAGAACTGGTTTCATTTCTCCTTACATGATGTTTTACCATTATCTCTGTTTTTTCCCTTGGGGGCGGGCGATGATTTATGAGGTTATATTTCAAATTTGTGATGGGAACCCATGTAATTATCATTATGATCATGGGTCTTTCTTGTATCACAGGTTTGGCAACACGGCTTATTTGTACATCTCAGTTGCTTTTATACAGATGCTCAAAGCTTTAAGTGAGTACTGTCATCTCGTACTCTATGCAATAATTGTTTTGTTTTTTACATTTTCATTGTTAATGTCCTAAAATTCCAAGATGCATTCTGTTGCAGTGCCTGTGGCAACATTCCTTATGGCTGTTATATGTGGCACTGACAAATTAAGGTGTGACCTGTTCTTGAATATGCTACTGGTCAGTGTCGGGGTCGTAATTTCGTCGTATGGAGAAATTCATTTTAATACAATTGGGACAGTTTACCAGTGTACTGGTATAGTTGCTGAAGCTCTTAGGCTGGTTTTAACACAAGTACTTCTTCAGAAAAAGGGCCTGACATTAAATCCTGTTACCAGTCTATATTACATAGCTCCTTGCAGGTAGTGTATATGCACTTTCATGTTACTATACTTTCGTTTATATATTTGTTTGCTTCAAAGTTTCATAAAATTACTTGGAATATGTGGTGGCGTGTTTGTTATTTGGAATAATAGCTCACGTGGTGTCATAAACTTCAGATGCAAGTTCTAGGTTGTAGTAACTTTTGGAAATATTGGGCAAAATTTCATGCGGAAGGCATTCAACTTAATCCCCTCGTTTTGACAGGGTATTGTGTTCTCTATGGCTATACTTCGTATTATCCATGCCTTCACGTTTTAGTGTTGATGAGTTACTAATTTTGTCCCGTCCTGTGGAATCACATGTCTTCTATACTGTGTATCACATGAGTATTCAAAGGGTTCACTTTGTAAAGATACGGTTTAATATCGTGACAAATGCAATCTGGTTGTTAAGTTGGATTTCTTTTCTGAAGAAAGAGGGCTGAAATTGGAAAAAAAGTCTGAGACCATACTTCGTGTTCATTCGTTTTAATGTCTTTAGGAGCTTGCTTTCTGAAGATAATTTTTTTTCAGTTAGCTTATTAGACTATGTCTGAAAGAACAGGGAATCTCTTCAAAGAAAGGGAGGGCTATGCTTTAGCAGTTAAATTGGACAAATTTTCAAAAGAGACCTTTTTGATTTTTTATTTGTAAAAAACAACCCATTTCAAAATATTTGTAAAAACCGACCTGGTTTCAGCCTCAGCGCTGAAACCAGGTCGGTTTTTGAAAAAAAGTTTCCGAAACTTCACGGGAGTTCAACTCCCGTGAAGTTTCAGAAACTTTTTTTCAAAAACCGACCTGGTTTCAGCGCTGAGGCTGAAACCAGGTCGGTTTTTGCAAATATCCTAGAAACAGGTCGTTTTTTGCAAATAAAAGCTGAAATGGGACGGTTTTGAAAATTTGTCCCAGTTAAATTAGGAGTATGGACTTCTAACAACACGAAATTGGTTCAGTCATTCTACATTAGTTTCAGATGAAACTGATTTTTAGCCCACATATCCACAGCACTGGAAGTCTTTCCATGAGGACAAAACTTGAAACTCATATGGCATTACTAGATTTCATTGTGGTCGACCATATGACACAATTTTCGACTTTGTTTCATTTTTAAAACAAGCAGGATACAAAGTCTTCCCTTTTTTTTAATGGGAATAAAGGATTTCAATAATTAATTATAGTTTTCAAAAATTTTACTTTCATTTAACAGTTATACATGTTTGCATAAATCAATATAAATGTTGGGATGGCCATTGTGGTGATCTTTGTTGTTCTTCGGTAGTTAGTAAGTGGTTAATAAAGTAAGAGAGGGCAATCAAATGGATAATTTACACTTTTAACTGCTAGGCAGCTTATCCTAGGACATATATGAAAAAGTAATCATGTGCATGAAGACTCTTCTTAAAAATACGATTGATTTTTGGAGACTTTGGAAAGTACATCGTTTTTATAGGTTTAAAGACATGGAGATCATTATAAGAGTGCTGATGCAGCAATCTGGAGGTGAGTGTTGTGTTGAGATGCTGGTATAGGAATATTCCTGCACCTGCAGTGTTTCATTACTTTTAGTGTGTATGCATGTACATAGTTGACTTGAAGACTGCTGGGATATCACAACAGGGCTAAAGCTTTGATATATATATATTTTTCCTGTCGGACATGAAGGTTCATCGTCATAAGTTTTTCTGTATTTTTTAGGAGAATTCAAAATCATTATGGATGTAAAGATTTCCCCCCTTCTTATGAATGAGTTGATGCAACTGCATTCCTTTATAGTAACAGTTGCTTATCTAGGAGAGAGTGTAGCAGTTCGAAAATCCACCATATAGTAGCGGAGCATGAGAGATTTGTCTTAGCGCTGATTATATTTTGATTAATTATTTATGTGCTTTCATTATCTTTGATGATTTTTTTTTCACTCGAGGTGCTTAACCTTTTATTTTTGCAATTACCTATTATCCATTATAGAGACAAGGGACGCTGATTTGATAGAACAAATTCTTTAATTTTTTAAAAGAATAGTTTTTTACATGATTGTTTTGTGTCCGTACTTCAATCTTACCTTTGTATATATTCTACCACGTGTCTTTGGCAAATTCGCCAACCTTACTGCCAGTTAATACTTTCTACGGTTTGCTTTAAGCTAGATAGGCCTTTTTAAATCTTGACTATATGCATCTCCCTGCGTTGTGCTTGCTGATACTTTCCGTTTCTGTTGTCATATTGAACCGAAAATTTTAATTTGCGAGTTTCCATTTCACTTTGTTTGTTTCATCTTGAAAGTCTTTCTAACGCTTCTACTTCTTTCATTTTAATTCTTTGTGTGCAGTTTCATCTTTTTATTTATTCCCTGGTATCTGTTGGAGCAACCCGAGATGGAAGTCTCACAGATTCAATTCAATTTCTGGATATTCTTCTCAAACGCACTTTGCGCTTTAGCCTTGAACTTCTCTATATTTCTTGTAATTGGTAGAACTGGTGCAGTCACCATTCGAGTTGCTGGAGTTCTCAAAGACTGGATACTAATCGCCCTTTCGACAATTATATTTCCTGAATCTACAATTACTGGTTTAAACATTATTGGTTATGCAGTCGGTAATTCTCTCTGCATTTCTATAGCATCTTTATGGGAATTACATTATTATTATTATTTTGAATGAGTTGAAACTGTCAATTGATTGAGAATTATCTCTGCAGCATTGTGTGGGGTCGTCATATACAACTACCTGAAGGTAAAGGATGTCCGAACATCAAATCAGCCTTCTATGGAAAGCCTACCAGAAAGACAAACTAAGGTCAGCATTCTATATATGCTTCTTGTTGTCAAACTTTAGATGGTCTATTTTTTTTTAACTCCGAGGCTGGCATTTTTTTGCTTCTCTTATGGTTCTCCAATGAAAAACTGAATTGTATCTAATGTCTTCCTTACTTTATAGTTTATCCATCATCATCTATCTATGTTGCATGGGTAATTCTGTCATACCCGATATGCCCCGTACCCTTACCCGTACCCATACCTGACGATTCTTGGACACTCCTTGAATATAGGCATGCACTTATTCAGATGAGTACTTGATTATACAATATATATATTTTAATTTAAAACACTCACGGTATAGTTCTTGGACAAGGGTTGAGTTCATTTCAGCCTATATTCAGGTCAAAGCTATGACTCCAAAGGGCCTTGAGTTCATTTCAGCCTATATTCAGTTCAAAGCTCCAAAGGGCCGTTTGCATACCTAGTTTAGAACTATGATTTAAGCCCATGCGTTTCAGTCATGTCCCTGTACCCTAGCTTTTACAAAATTTTTGTGTCCCATACCTGTATCTGCACCTGTTCCAGTATACCTGTAACTTGATTAATCACTCAATCCTTTCCCATTAAAGTTTTTATACAATACTAATACTAGAGAACCATCAAGCAAGGATTAATCACATCTTTCATCACTCTTGACAAATACCATATATTGGCTTGCAATTGGCAGTGCATTCCTTAGAGTCTTGGTTCTAGACCGCTATGTTAGTCATGCAAAGGCCTGGTTGGAGCTATGCATTGGAAGCCCATAAATAAATTGTGCGACTATGGGTCTGCATTAAGCATGTGAAGCTGTGGCCTGTTCTTTACCGTAAATAAATAAATTGTGCGACTATGGGTCTGCATTGGAAGACCATCACATTTGAAATTATGTTAAGAAACAAAGGTACATAACAAACTGTTCTTCAAACTTGATCCTGATATGTAGCATATTTGTGATAGAGCATGTTGCCTATTAATTTATCCTGGCAATTGGCAAACACTTGGAGTAGAGAATGAAGATTTCATATATGAAATGGATGGAGATCTATCATGCATGTATGGATGCATTTGGAAACATCACCATCCAGTTGAGTGCATAAGTGTGAGACTACGATTATGCAGTACTTCTTTTACTTCAGCTAGACATATCTCAGTCTTATTTCTCTATTGTGATTTATTACCTATCTTGAACCTCACCACATTTTTTTGGGTTCATTTTCTTTAATGATAGTCTAGGTAGCATGAACATGGGTGTGGACATGAACAGGGACACGGCTACGGACACAGGACACGACAAATTTGTAAAATGTAGGATAAGAGGACACGGCTATAGATGTGTGTGTAGATCAAATATTGAATTAAAGTGTCTGTAACATTTGTTTGTTTCTTCTATTATCTCTACCAATTAAGAATCAAGTTAAATCAATCTAAGAATAAGGTTTAACAACAAAAGTTGTATGGGTGTGTATTTTTCAAATATTTAAGCGATGGGTTTCAGTTTTCGGGTTAGAAAACTGATTGATTTTGAACCTGATATCTCCGAAGATACTAGTTTAAGATATAATTAATGGGAAAATCGGTCTTTGCTTTGAACAACACGTGTCCATGGAGTGTCTGTCGAGAATCCATGTCCAATACGTGTCAGATGCGGACATGGCACCCAAAACGCCGTGTCCGAGTAACCTAGATGATGGTGCGTCTTTACTTTTTAAATTTAACCAAAAGGAGGTTATCAGAAAAATAAATACATTTGAATTATGTTGGAATAAAAGTCTTTAAGAGTTTTTTTCCTCTACCTGCAGACTTTTAGAGCCCCACTAATTTGTAGAAATTACTTCTGACTTGCATGATCCCTTTGATCCCATTATCATAGAAAACAGTCTAGGTGATTTTTTAAGCAATACTCAGTGGTGGCCCCCCAGGTATCCTAGTTGGTGATAAGCCCCCCACCCCACCAAGGCCCACCCTAAATTAGTACATCGAGATATAGGTACTTCCCTCTTGCATCCTTGAGCGCATAAAAATTGCTCAATATTCATCTCTATAGTTCAAACACATACACTACTCGGCTATTGCGCATTAGGTCCAAGGGTTTGAAGAGGACAAAATGTATCGTCCTTTTTTATGTTGAAATAAGACAAAATGTATGATGAATTTGCCCTGTAAGTTTGTATCTGGTTCAATTTATTTCACAAAGGAATACTAAATAGCCTTACAAAACTATAAGGAAAGGGATATGCTTTGTACATACAACTTTTGGTTTGAATCTTGAGATAATTAAACACTACCTATTTGTATCCAGTTTCTGAATAGATACTAATGACTGCCGACTATGCATAGTTTAAACAAGTTTTTTAATGTGCATTTTGTTAACATAACTAATTCCGGTTGGTTTGTTTACATTTATCTACACCTGAGTGTGCAAGTAAGTACCCATATATATATTCTATCATGTGCCTGTACATATATTATGGGGTTAATTGCAAATAGACCCCCTGTAGTATCGCCCACTTGCGAACAAACACCTTGTAGTTCTATTTGTGCGGATAGACCCCCTTAGTATTTGGCAAAGTGCTGATAGATCCTTCAGTGAACTATTTTGACTCTTTTAAGAGTAAAAAAAGATTAGCATCTGAGGTTCTATCCTCACCAATAGAACTACAAGGAGTCAAATTTTCTTCAGAAAACGTATTTTACTTTTTTTAAGTGTCCCAAAAATGGAAAAAATATCAAAGGAGCAGAAAAAAACACTTTTTTTGGGTGGGGGGGGTGGGGGGTGGGGGATTCATCTGAAATAGAAGTACAGACGGTCTATCTGCTGTTGGACGATACTACAAGGGGTCTATCTGCAGTTCCTCACTTCACCCTATATTGTAGTTCTGAGCTGGATACAAGCTGTAAAGAACCTGACCTGTGTTCGACGAGTTAAGAGAAGTGTATTTGAAGTGATACATTTCCAAGAAGTGTATGACAATTTTTTTTAAATAGAACATGTATTGTATAATTAGTACACGTTTGAAGGAGTGTCCAATAAAGTTTCACTGTCCTGTATGGGTACGGGTATGACGCTGGAATGACTTCATATAGAATTACCATACTACATAGGTAGTAGGTTATAAGCAAGGCTCTTATAACAATTACGCTAATGGTGTGTTCTGTCTTCTGTGCTTTTATCGATTTTATTGTTGTCTGCTCTATAATTTAAGTGTGAACACAGTGTGGCTTTGATTATGTTAGACTCACTTTTATGGTGCATTTTAAATTTCAACAGGATTGGAAGCTGGACAATAGTGTAAAGATTCCAAATATCGCGGACAATGCGTTAAACACTTCCATGGAATCAACTGCTGATGAAGAATCACCCCTTCTAGCATCCTCAAGATTTTCGTACATTGGGAGGTCGAAACCAAACCAATAATCAAATTTATATATTTTATCGACGAGGAAGAAGCACCCGAAACTCCCACACGTTGAAGGATAATGCTGGAGCCACATACTTCTACTTCAATGGACGATAATATTTGGAAGTCCCTTTGGTCTGTTGGCCTTTTTAGAAAATGTATCCATTTTTGCCCTGACCACTTCCATTTCAAGGGACCTGAAGTATGATATATAATCCGTCAGCATATGAGTACTCGTATAGATCTACTTGATTTTTTTGGTAGGATGCAAACTTATTGTCATTCTTCATGATTCTTTGTACTCACATTGCTGTGTTGAATCAAGTATAGTGAATTCAGTTTAGTGAAATTTCTTTCCACTCAGTGGTTGAGCGTAACAGGGTGTTGTTAAATTTGGATTGGAGTAAATAGTGTTGGACTGAAGAATAATGTATAGATTGGAGAGCTCAAGGTGGAGATTACTATATATGTTACTTGGCATAGTTACAATTGTTCACAGGTTAAACAATGACACCGTTTCATTTTAGATG